TGCTCAGTTTGAGAACCACTGCTCTACTTTCCCCACTACATTTTCTGCAGTGTTAACCTGCTTCTTTACCTTAAGCTGCAACTTCTGTTGATTTTGATTTGATGATTTCATATTCAACGTAAAATACTATAGTTGGTTTATTAGACCCTTTCTAAAATTCCTAAAGCTGTATACCTAATTCCTCTCTACACCTGTAACTTTACAAAGCTTAAACTCTACATTTAATTGGCAACGCAGGCCAAAACTTTTTAAAGAAGTCAGGTTTATTAACATTTGGAGTAGTTTTAATAGCGCACTTGGCATTCATTGATGGTTGGTCTCTTTGAAAAGCCAAAATAGGAAAGAAGGACTTAATTTTCTTTTCACTAAAAAAAGGCTAAATATACATTTTAAAAATAAATTTTGAACTACTGAAAACATCTGTCCAAAGGTGGGAGGGGTGCAGGATGTGGAATCGGCTTTGGTAACCGTATAAATTGAAAAGGAATGCAGTATTCTGTGCATTTTTGTAGGTTTTTGAGTCCAGATCTGTTATCAACCATTAAAAAATAAGTCATTAAATTTCAGTTTCCTTAAAAGCTTTCCTTATCGCAATCATCTCCCTTTTCATCAAAGTCTACTGTGTTTTCATCTCATCCTTGGCTTCCTGAAGTTTATTGAGCTCAAGTTAGATATTTTCTAAAAATTTTCTGCTCTTTCCACTCATAATTTTTTTTCCCCCCAAAGGACACTGTTCCTCGGCCTCTTGAGTCCCATGCTCTCTCTCTTCCATGTTCAATCCTTTGATCAGGCAGAGATCTTAGCCTTGATATCTGCTCATTAAAAAGTGTGTGGTTTTGTTTTGGTCTCCATCCTGCTCTATCTGCTTCCTGTTGAGCTTCATGTCTCTGCCCATCTCCAGCCAAGCTGCCAGTGGTTTTCAATTTACTTAACCCAAGGAAGAATCTGCCTGGTCAATAATCTAGCCTGAAGGGTTGTGTATTTATTGCCTTGTTAAAAATGCTGAATAAAAAACAGTCTCCTGTTTACACAAATTCTGCAGTTTTTCCAGTTGCCAAATTCTCATTTCTCCATTAGCATATAGGGAAGTATATAGCCCAGGAGTCAGGTGGAGAGAGACAGACAGACAAGCCTATAATGGGGAAAGAATTTCCTATGACCTCTTTTTCCCTACATAGCCTTACTTGGTTCCTTTGGAGCTTCTCCTAAGTTTATAAAGTAGAAATTCCTCCTGGCTTCCAGTAAGTTATTAAACAATATTTCTGGTTTCCATCTTTGTTGGAAATCTGAATCCTCTTCTATATTTTCATAATTATGTCAGTGGGAAGGTGGAGGGGGGGGGAGTAAATTTAGAGTCTGTAGTTTCCTGCTGTCATAACCCACAAACTAGTATGGTCATTTAAGTACATGAGGCCACTGATCAGACCTGCAATCATACTTGAAATGATTCAGAACGACTGGTAGGACTGAGAGTGAAATTCGTCCCTTGAGTATGCAGACCACAGCAGAGGACTTGTGTGTTACACGTGAGCATATGTGTGCGCCTATGCATGGAATGCGGGCATTGTGGTAAAATAATCAAAAGATGAACAGACAAGAAATTTCATAGCATTTAAACTTGGAGACTTTGTATACTCATTTCTGGAGTGCTCTTCATGGCAACAGTTAAAGGACACTTATTTTGTCTCCCCTCCGGACTCTGATTGGTAGATGGCACTGCAGGGGCTTTCTGATGGTTAGCTACTCAGCACCCACTGCTCTCTTCTCCCACCTTAACAATACCCAACTTTAGCTCAGCTCCTCGACGTCTTTACAAAGCTCCTGTGCTTTGGGGAAAGTGGACCCAGCTCTCCGTGCTCTGGTAGATCCTGCCTGATCCACCCATGGTTGAACCATATCCCCTGTCACAGGGTTGATTCAGGGCACTGACCTAAGCCAATCAGTGCATGGCTTTCCCAGCCTCAGGGACTGATCTTAAATAAGCAGGTGACCAGTGAGATGTGACAGGAGGTTTGCTCAGAAATTCTGGGAAAGAAAGAGACAGCACACTGAAAGAGATGCTTTCTCTTGAGTTCTACGGCATCCCGACACCAAACCTGCAGCTGGGACAACAATTATGCTACTGTGAGGGGAAGTCACCCTAAGGCTGAAGGTGAGCAGAAATGAGAAAAGGGGACTGAGTCCTTGAGAAACTGTCCAGTGACTGAGTCACTCCCATCCTCAGGTCACCCTACCTCTGGAATTTTCTGCTCATGAACCATAAGCTGTGGCTTTTTGTAGTTTAAGCCAGTTTGAGTTGGTTTTCCTGTGATCTCCAAACAAAGAATCCCAACTAACTCAGCGATCAGGGATGATGTTCACCTCTCTATCTTGTACCTTAAACATGACATTAGCTGTTTTGTACCATCAGTTTCCAAAGTGGTCAATGTTTAAGGAAATAGAAGCCAAAATGGTCCAGAGAAGCCAGCAATGGACGTCCGAGCCGGCTGATGGGCCATCTCTGCTAGGACTAAACCATGCCAACTTCCTCCATCAGAGGACAGCCTAGGACCAATTAAATCACAATGGGTTTTCATGGCACAAATAGCACCGTCAGCTAAGACCATGGTCACTCCCAAAGCAAAAGCACCTTCTTCATCTTTGACAGTTCCCTCCAGGGCCTCCGTGGTGGGGAACTGGACCTTCTCACAGAATAGGAGATGACAGGTGCTATAAGCCAAGGCTGTCTCTGATGGGATGAGGGCAGCTGCCTACGTGATCCATCTCTGCGTCCCAGTGCTGAACCCGGGCCCAAGTCACAGACTGTGCCCCAAATGTCTTGCGATAGTGGCACAGGGAACATGGCTGTCTGGAAAATTAATGAACTCTGCCTAACTATACAAATATCCCTTCTTCCCAATGCCCGCAGTTACCCAATAATGAAAGTTAACTGTCCCCGAAGTGTAGGATTTGCTGCACAGGTGTGAGAAGAAAGGAAGAAGAAATGACCACCCAATCAGAACTCACAAATACTGGGAAAGGGGCTAGACTGGTGGCCTCATGACAGGCCCCAGGAGACACGGGGCAGGGTGCCTGGCTCAGGCCCCCATCTTTCCATTTACTAGCTATGTGATTGTGAGTGATAACAATTCTTATCCTTCCACCACACAGGAGTTTCCAAAGAACCCGATGGGATTGTGGATAAGAGAGAAAGTTTCAGCAGCAGGATGAGTTAGATATGATTCTGGGCTCTGGGGGCAGACAAGGTGGCTAAGGCCCTCATGGGAGCTCTCATTCCAAAGAAATGACCATTCATAAAACTCCTTGTGATACAGGAATTTGAGTGAACAGCTTTATCCTGTTCCATATACCTTGCCCAGCCAGATTCCTGCTAAAGTAACATACTGCAGAAAGTACTGGAAATAAGTATCGTTATGCACACATGATGTAACAGCCAAAGAATCTACAGATAAGCAGCAAAAAAACCTGTATGCAGAAAATGATAAAATGTCACTGAGAGGAATTTTTCAAAGACCCAGATAATTACAGGAATGCACCATCTCCATGGAGTTGAAGACTTGACATTATAGAGAGGTCAGTTTACCCAAATTTATCTATAAATCCAATATAATCTTAATCAAATTCTAGCCAATCTTCTTATAAAAACTGACACGCTGATTCTAAAATTTATATTAAAATGCAAAGGGATCAACAACAATGCAAAAGGATCGATACTTAAAAACAAGCTCGAAGACAACGAACAAGTTCAAATGGTGTACGCTTCCAGATGTGACAACTTACTATACAGCTCCAGTGATTAAGACGGTGTGGTGCTGGCACAGGGCTACACAAACGATTCAACGGGACTGAACTGAGAGTCCAGAAATAGACACGACATATATCCGCATGAATTATGACCAAGACAATATTGTAGCACATTGGGGGAAGGATAATCCTTCCAATGAATGGTGCTGGGTCAATTTGATACCCATATAAATAGAGACATCTGAATCACACCATGTCTTACCATAAACAAAAATCAACTCCACATTGACCATAGACAGTGAAGCACTAAATATAATAGGTGAAGCATGAAAGCTTCTAGGCAGAAACACAGGAGAACACAAGGTCGCCATGACCTTGGGGTAGGCTAACAGTTCTTTAAAAAGATACTACCTTCCCATCCACCAAAAGCAGAAATGTAAAGGAAAAGAATGATAAATTGAACTTCATTAAATTAAGAATTCCTAGTTACCAAAGGACAGCATTACAAGAGTGAAAGGCAGGCCAATGAGTAGGAGAGAAATTTTACCCAGTGTTTAGAAAGAACCCTTACATATCAGTTTAAAAGGAGAGAGAGAACAGGTACCTGGTCAACCCTAGGCAACAGTCTGCACAGCAGCTTGGCAAAGAGCATACTGACATGGCTAATAAATACATGAAAAGGTTCTCAACATTATCAGTCATCAGGGAGATACATACTAAAAACAATGAGACACCACTGTACGATTGCTAGAACACTTTTTTAAACTGAAAGAGACACTGGGCAACTGGAACCTGACGGGTGTACAGACGGATACGATCATGTCAGGAAACTGTCAGCATGCTCTAAAGCTACAATTTATTGCTGTAGCTATGATTTATGCATACGTATGGCCCATTAGCTCTATTTATATATATACTCACACCCAAAAGAACTGCACACATATATGCACCAAAATACATTATAAGAGTATTTCTAGTACCATTACGTTAATAGCCCAAAACTGGAAAGTGAAATGTTCATCTGCAGCATATTAGATAAACAGTGGTATCAATGTTCGATGGAATACTATGCTGCAATTAAAAATGACACACAGCAAGATGGATGACTCGCAGAAGCATAACAGTAAGCAAAAGAAGGTGCAAAAGAGTGCGTACTTACGGTTCCATTTGTAGCAAGTCTGAAAATGTGCAAAACAAATGTACAGTGAGAGAAGTCTGAGTGGTGTTTACCTTGAGTGGCACAGGTCTCAGTGAAGGCCCGCGGAAGCATCTGGGGTGCTGGTAACGCTCTGCTTTTTGATCTGGGTGTTGGTGACACAAAGGCTCGCCACGCTGACCTAGGAAGTGGAAGAAGAATTTCAGACCCAAGTAGATCTGACTTGAACGTCCTGTCAATTACACTGCGTTACTAAGTGCGTGTATGTGGTGGGGATAAGGAGGTCCATTTTAACCTGGGTACGAGGAGGGAAATGTTCAAATGACCTCTCCTCTAATCATCCATTTGGTGACCGGAATCGCAGAACCACGACTGAGAAACCACTGCCACCTAATTGCAGGATCAGATATTTCAGACACGACAACTTCTAGTTGTGCCTACTGCCAATTCAAGATAGCAGCATGACAAAAAAACCTCGTTCAGTCCCCGCCCACACATCCAGTATTTCTTTCTCAAGCAACTGTCTATAAGAAGTCACTTTTCCTTCAGATGGCTTCATCCCAGTGATGTAGTCACTCTTTATCCTGTACTCATAAAATAAGAATGTTACCTACCAGTCACTGAACAGTTACTACACGCCAGACACTGTATTAATCTCTCTGCACAGATGATGTCACTTACTTGGCATAACAATTCCACGAGGTGTCTACCACTCTGATACCCACTTTAAAACGAGAACAGTGAGACATGCTGAGATTTCTCAAGGTCAGCACAGGTATGTGAGTGATCAAGTTGGGATTTTAAGCCAGGTCTGCAGGATTCCAGATGTCCTGCTCTCCTATTTTCCAGGCATGGAAGTTGGACATTTTCTCCCCATAGCAGGGAATTCAGAGATCTGAGTGCCAGGGCTAGTGGTGCCAAGGACTGGCTGTGGATGGCGACTGAACCACTTTACTTCTCAGGGCCTCGGTTTTCTTATCTGCAAACTAAAAAGCTTACCCGGATGATCTCCGAGGCTGCTTCCCACCCCATCGCCTAATAACTCCTAAACTCAGGAGAAAGGCATTAATCTAAGTCACTTGCAATATGTTTTTGTGGTTTGGCACAGCTATTTTTAGACCATCACAGCATAAGAGCTCATTTTATGGAGCCAGTCACAAATTTCCCACAATCTTTAGGGGAAGTCCAGGCTTGAGGGATTCTGGTGCTTAATGAGATGATGTAATGCAGGAAAGTATAGAGCTGGAAGAAAATTTTATTAGTGTGAGTATATGTACATTTTCAAGTGAATTACAAGACCTTAAGAAGTAAATGTATGTGCCCCACGGGAAAATCACCTAAGACTTTTAAAACAGAGCAGGCAGTGTTTGTTTTCAGGCATTCTGAGAACCTCTGCAGATGTGAGGAAAAAGGCAAATCGTGCAGGACCTTTAACCCTGGAAAGAAAAACAAATGACCTCAGGAAAATATCTTCAATTAAACAAGCTGAGGACACCCTCTGACAGGTGCAATTGTCAGGTAAAGGAGCCTTATAAGGCAACCTGAGTTACTATGTTCATTCAGCAGGAGTGCACTTATGTCAATCCGCTGATGTGAAACGTGCAGGATTAGCAGCACTTAAGAATAAGATGTGAAACTGGTCTGGCATTCACATAAGTGAAGCATGTACCTTCCAGTTCAAAATGCCCATTTTTCCAAAAAACTAAACAAACAAACAAACAAACAAACAAACAAACAAACGAACAAAAAACCCCCCAACACGTTGGCTTATACAGAAACAAGTAGTAATAATCTGGGTCACATCAATTTCCTGAGGTGTTTCTAAGTTGTCGCATACCCACATTTGATACGTGCATCCCAGCAAATTTGAATCCGGCGATGTCAATTTCAGAATTTACAACTATGACAGGCTGTGAGTGGCTGGGAAGTTGTATTATTTCAAGAGCTGACCTTAAGTGAATAAAACAATGGAAGTTGAGTCACTGCACAATGAGAAAGACGTTGCAGAGAGACGCTCTTTGGTCCTGTGTGACCTGTCCTGGCTCTGCAGAGGCGTCCCTGTTCCAGTCATTCCACAAGAACTTATCAGCATGTAGGCTGAGGATCAATTCAGAGTGTAGGCATCTCAGGGAACCCCACTCACTGATGCTTTCCAAGCCAACACAGCACGAGAAGGAATCAAGGGACCACAGCCTCGGGAGCACGAAGGCCACAAACACACCCACAAACACACCCCAATCCAGTTTGCAGCGTGCAAAGGGCCATGTGGACACAGTCGCCAGCAGGAAGCACAGAGAGAAGGCACCACTGAGCCTGCATCCGCCAGACCCGCAGGCTGGTGCCTCCTTGGATGGCCTGCGACTCCTCTGAAAAAACGCTGCTCTGCCCCTTTTGGTCTGGTTGCTGCTATTCACACCCCCTCAGGTGTCCTCTAGCTCCCCGGGGATGCTAAGCCTCCTCAGTGCTTGCTCTGACCTTAGAAGGCATCTCTCTCCCTTGCCCAACAGTGATCCATAAACCCATGGAAGCTACAGTAAGGATGGGCCTTCAAGGCCCCTAGCCCTTTGTCTTCACGTTGCTTCAATCCAACAAAAAAGTACATCCTGCCTGACATGTAATAGATACTCAAGTTGCAGTTAGAGAGATATGCAAATTGTTCCCATTTGCAAGATGAACAAGATCCACTGGCTTTCTCTGAATTCATAGCCCAGCTGAGAAGCTGGGGTGTGTTCAGAAGTAATTAAAAAATGAGAACCACGGCTATTCAGGGAGGCCTGTGGAAGGAGGCGGCATTTCAGAAGGGAAAGATTCTAAAGAAAATGCTTCCCCTTTTCTTTAGAATCTTTCCCTTCAACTTTCCTTGCTCACATTCTTCTGGGAACTTCAGCCACACGTGCTTTTTCTTATTTTGACCCTCCAAACAGACAGGCTCATGTACCATCCCCACTGAGTGTGGGGACAGGTGGATGGATGGAAAAAGCTCCACAGTGTCGGCCATACTGGGCTTCAGCTAAGCTTGACCGGCTCAGCTGCCCAAACGCATGTCGCAGTTTAACCCTCACTGGTCCAGTCAGTGTCCTAACCACCTGGTAAAAACCTTTCTAGACCCATCTTGGCACTCGCCTATAGGGTTCTTCAGCTGTAAAACGGCCTGTTTCCCTCCTCAGACTCTCCAATCTCCTTCCAGTTCCATCAGGAAGTCATTCTGGCAATAGTAGCCCACAGGGATCCCGCCTTTCTCTGACTTTCTGCAGAATTTGCAACGGGAACAACACCGTTTGTCACACACACAACGCCTGGAATCCACCCTATTTGAGATGAAGTCAGAGTATCCTACAAGAGACTGATCTTCATGCACAAGAAACATTCTGCACTTACGACGTGTCCATGTTTCTGTCCTCCCCTGGACACCTTGCACAGATGTTGACGTACAAGCTGCTGAGCCAGGCCTGGGGCGAGGGGGAGGCTGAACACATGGAGACTGGGCTGAGTTTGAATCCAAGCTCCCTCAGTGGCCAGTCTTTCATTTCTCTGAGATACCACCTCCTCATCTACGAAAGAAAATGAGGCCAAGATACCTCTACCACAAACACGGTATGACAATTTAACGAGACAACTTAGGTGACTGCACCTAGTATGGCACATAGCAAACTTCAGGCCTTCAACAAATGCTTGATTCTCTCTTCTACTGGAAACTCTAACATGCAGAAGCGGGAGGGGAGGCAAAATAGCCCCCTCCCTCCAAGGGTTAAGGATATGAAATTCTGAAACTAACAGCCGGATATCTAAATAACTGTTGGAGGATGCCTTTGGAAAAGTCAAGCTTTAAATCGGAAATCTCTGTTTTGCAGGACCGATCCTCAGGACACAAAGCCCTGTGACTCAGGAGAGAACAGGACAGTGCTCTGTGCAGGCAATGTGAACGTGCCACAATGCCTGAGTCAGGGACTTATCAAAACAGTGCAATGCCCGACCCCACACACCAAGGTCCCTGACAGCTACACTGCTCCTCTATAATTATCTGTGAAGTGCCTGCACATCATAAGGTGCTTCATTCTTCCCTGTGCCAATGGCAGCATTTCCCGGCCATCTGGGGTCTTCCCTTGCAGCTGACAACAGCAGCCAACAGGACAATGCGTAAGCTTCCAGGGTCTTAAATCAGAGGACTCAAGAGTCTGCATTTATATAATGAGCGGGCTAGACAACATGGGGCACGTAGTCCCTTCAGCATCCCAACTGTATCCACTTCCTGTGGCTGCTGTTAACAGTTACCACAAACACACACACCGTAGGTAGGAGGAGGAATGGGTCTCACTGGGCTGGCAGGGCTGTGCTCCTTCAGGAGGCCCTGGGGGAGAACATGGCCTTGCCTCTTACAGCTTCTAGGAGCCGCCAACATTCCTTGCCTGTCTTCCTTCTCCATTTCTATGGACTTCTGTCATTACACTGGGCTCACCCAGCTGATCCGAGATCATCTAGCCATCTTAAAGTCAAATGATCCCCTTAAGGTCACCTTACTTTTATCTGCAACCTAATTCCCCTTTTGCCACTTAACCTGAGTCAGAGATTGTAGGGATTTGGACAGACATGGCGAGGGGACACTATTCTGCCCCCCACACTAATAACACAAAATCCTGCTTCTATACTAATCACGCATGCCGATCCCCTACCCTTCACCTACCTAGGGCCCAAAGGGTGACTGCCATTGCAACAAAGAACACAAACGTTGACTTCTGAACTTCCTGACATTGGGAAAGGAGAGCAAGCGGACATTAATGAAGCGTATCAGCTACCGTGTGGCAGGCTTCATCTCCAGCATCTCAGCCGTTGCCATCTGCATAGGGGAAAACTAAACTTCAGGCCGCTTAATTCACAGGACTGGGGCATGCAAATCCACGTGCATCCGAACAGCTTTGGAGCTTGTTCTTTTTTTTTTTTTAAAGATTTTATTGGGGAATTGGGAGAGGGGACAGTGTTGGGGAATTGGGGAAGGGGAGCAGACAAGTTGCTGTTCTTTGATTCTTAAGTCTAGTTGTGGAGGATGTCGCTTCACTGGCCCATGTTGGTATTATCATTGTGCTCTTTTCGGGTGAGGCAGATCGGTTGCTGGCCACTGAACGGCCACTCACGGCGGCTCTTGGCAGCTCACACCGGCTGCCTGACGCTCACGCTGGCTGCCGG